AAATTTGTTTAATATATTTCTATAAATATATTTTAAAATTAATATTTGTAAATATAACTTGGAAATAATTAAAAAATTACTTAATATAAAACCTTAGTATAATGCATTTTTATAAACTTCCATGTATTATACTAGAATAATTATTAATAAAAACATACTTTACCCTACTCGAGATGAATATAAATTCTAATAATTAATTTTATTAAGTGACTCAAGAATTGGAATCAAATAAAATAAATTTATTGAAAAGCTAATAAAAATTATTATTATTAAAAAAATTTTTTTTAAAAAGTCTATATTTGGCTTCCATCATACAAAATAATACCTCCGTTACTCCACTAATCATAATCTGAATAAAAAGAATTATTTTTACAAGAAAAAAATTAGGATTTATTCAGATAAATACAAAATATCGGAAAGGAAATAATAATATTTTGCAAAAGAAGTGCAACAATATGAGTTAGACAGTAGCATAGACAACATTTATAAATTATCTTATAAATTGCTTAACACCAACAAACGGCTTAGCCGTGCAAAGTAGCAACAAAATAAGTATAACAAAATGATTAAAAGAATTTTTACGATTTACCAATAAATAAAAAGTAGAAAAAATATCTGTCACTAACATTATATACATATTACATTAATAATTATATAATAGCGGAAAAATTTAAAAAAATATTACAAAAGATATAAAAGAAAAAAAACGATTTTATATTCAATGAGATTGAATTGGTTAAACAAGATGCAAAAAAACAAGTTGAAAAGAAAAAATTTCTTATGAATATATTCCTTTAAATTAATATAAATAACGTAAAATGATTTAAAAAATAACAAAATAATTGTTAGATAGTTATAATTTAAAATTGACAATTATAATTAAATTTTTTTAGAATATTGATCTTTAAAATTTGTTTAATATATTTTTACAAATATTTTTTAAAATTTAATATTTCTTAATACACTTGGCAAATAATTTTAAAAATTTATATTAAATAGTATAAACTTTAGTATAATACATTGTTATAAACATTAAATTCTACGTGTTATACTAATATAATTATTAGAACAACGTCAACAGGAACATCACGAGTGAAACGCTGCGTAAGACAACAAACGCTGAATAACTAAAAATGATGACAGAAATGGATTAAGCGATGAATATAAATTCCAATAATTTATTTTCAAAAATAACATTAAGAATTTGAATCAGATGCTCGATTATTTAACAATTTACCTTTCTTTTATTCTATATTATTTTTTCTGATGTAAAAATAAGGAAAATATATAAAATATTACGATATTTATTTTTTATTCGACAAAGCCATAACTAATTCTTACAATTAAAAAAATAAATTCATTGAAAAAATAATAAAAATTGATACATTATTACTTAAAGAAAATTTTTAAAAAGTATATTTCGGCTTCCAACATAAAAAATAATAACTTTATTAATTACTCAACATAATCCGAATAAAAAGATTATTTTAAAACAAAAAGATTACAAAGATTTATTTTTAAAAGCAAAAAATTAAAATCGAATAGACAGCATTTCTAAACAATCTTATAAAATGCTTAACACTAACAAAGGCCTGAGTCATGCTAAAGAGGAACAAAATGATTATAACAAAATGATTTTAAAAATTTTTTCTATGATTTAACAATAAATAACAAAGTAGAAAAAATATCTGTCACAAATATTATATATTCATTAACAATTATATAATAGTGGAAAAGATTTAAAAAAATATTACAAAAGGTATAAAAGAAAAAAAACTATTTTATATTCAACGAGATTGAATTGGTTAAACAAATTACAGAAAAATAAGTTGAAAAAAAAACGATTATTGCATATATTGTCCAAGCTTAAGTAGAAAAAAGTCGAAACTCGGATTCTTCAATAAATTTTTTCAACAAAAAATTTAATAAATTTTAATTTATTTATAACTTTAAAAATTTCCAAAAAATTTATTAATAGTATAATCAATATAAAAAATAATATAAATTACAGTATTTTTGATAATTTAGATGTTTTATAAATATTTCATTAATTGTTAAAGTTTAAATATATTTTAATTATTATTTAATTTGCTTATTAAAAATATACAATACGCGTCTTGTATATTATAAACATAATTATTGAAATAAAGTATTGAGAAATCAATCAAAATTTTGTTAATAATATAATAAATTGGGACGTCGTCAATAATCAACAGTTAGGTTACGAAACATTCAAAAAGAAGGTATTGAATTTTGAAAGTTCAGGAGATATTGATCCCATTTGTATTAAATACCCCAATACCCTCCGTCCTTTTATCAAACATGGTTCAGTGTTTTCACAATTTTCTTTTAAATCATATAAGCCTGTAGTTTGTAAGATATTGTTAAGCTTCCACATACAAAATAATAACTCTATTAATTACTAAAAATAATCTGAATACATAAAAAGGATTATTTTTAAAAGCAAAAATTAAATATATTCAGATATATATAAAATATACGAATATTACAAATGATATGAAAGAAATCAATGATTACATATTCAAGGAAACCGATAATATAAATATTAATTTAATATTAACTTTAATAAAAATAACTTTATTTAAAAAAATTTTTTTAAGCTAGAAATTATTAAAAAAATCACATTTCGTACATACACCTAATAAATTCAATTACATAAATTGTTTACTTTAAAGTGATTAATAAAAACCGTTTCAATATCTAAAATGATTATTATACATATTGACATACATATACCATAAAAAAGCGATTAATAAAAATATTAATAAATACAACGATGTCTATATGATAAAACAAATTTTGTATAGAAAGAATATTTACAGAAACAATATAATTTATTTTTAATTAATTATATTTTTCAAATATATATGACAAATTAATTATGAAACTGTTGCAAAACTTACGAGGATGTTGAATGGGAAAAATTAAACATTAAAAGGATTGAACATTAATATTATTTATATGTAGAAATTGTATTGCATCAGAAATTATTTTGAAAATTTGAGAGGAAAAATGTCTGTTTTTTATATTAAATTTAAAATATTGATATTTTTATAAATTTTATTCAAAAGTAAATTTAAAAAATATTTAAATCGTAATAATTATTAATATCTTCCTCAAAGTGAATAAAATTTAAATTTACAGATAAATATTATTTTTAAAAGTTATGCTAATAATTTATTCTTGATAATTTTTTTTATTCTTGATAACATTAATTCTTGATAATTTTGAATTTTTTAGAGGTTATGTTTTATAAAGCTTTTTTAATTGTTAAATTCAATAATATTAAATTTTTTTGACAAAAATGCATAATATTGTTATAAATGGAATATTGATCACAGAAATGGATCTGTCGGCAACAGCCGAAAATGATATTTAATTTTAAATTTCAAAATAAATTTCTTCCTTTTTAACCTTAATCATTGAAATATATTTTTTATATTTTTTAAAATTCTTCATTTTTTAAATGTTATTACCCTTTTTTTAATGTCTCATCCTCATTCTTTCCTAAATTAACCTTTTTCTTCTGATGCAATTCTCTCCTATTTAAACTAACAATTAACAGCTAACAAACAATCATTAATCATTTTGCTATCCCTTTAATTTAATCCTAAAAATGTTCCCCTCCTTATTTTAAATATAAATTAAATTATTTTGATTGATAAATTTCTTTTAAATTATTTTCTGGTAAATTAATTTGGGGGTCTAAATAAAGACATTTGGTGCCACGACAAAACTGGCCGGGGGAAACAATCGTCGAAGCCGAAGCAGAAGTAGGGACCGACATCGGCAGCGACAACACAGACAACAACCACAAAGAAGAGATCGTCGGCGTATTTTCCAGCCGACTCGCTCGTTTCCTAGACGAGCACAACATCCACCACAAAGGCAGCGCATTCCAAATCGCCAACACCGTCCAATCCTCGATCGAGTCCAATTCACCAGCCCAGCACATAACAGGCAGTTTTCTTTTAATAGGAGAAATAACAACTATTTTCCGAGGGGAGGCGGGTCCCAATTAAATAATTGGTTCCAAATTCCACAGCGACCTGCTCATCCACGTGCTGTTTTTGTGCCATACTACACACAACCCAACTTTCCCGCGCCTTTTGTTCAAACTCTTCCACCACCTGTTCCAAATTTTCCACCTCCTTCTGTGCATCCTCAACCTCTTTTATACTTTCCACGTGCTCCACACTACTAGGTGAGTAAAAAAAATGGCAGAAGGTTTCAAGAACACTCTAAATCCCCTAAAAAACCGATTAATTAGACTTGACCAGGAGGTAGTAGAAATAGATTTTCTGGTGCAAAATGAGGACTTTAATAGGAAAAATGAGTTAATAAGAATGGCTGAATCATACATTGAAAAATACGGGGATACATTTACAGCCATTAATGAAATAAATTTTGAATGGTTAAAATACCTGGGGTCAATTAAAAATACAACTGAAAAAGTATCAGAATCTGGGGAGCATTATACATTTACTAGCAGAGCAGAAACGGGGTTATTTACGCAGATGGAAAACTCGCGTAATATAATTGATCGCTTAAAAGAAAATTTACGCGTATTAAAAAACTCTGCTCAAACAAATCGGGGTCAAGAAATAAATAATGCAAAATTGCCGGAACTGGCACTTCAAACATTTAATGGGGATATTTCTAAATATACTGAGTTCATTGAAGACTTTACAACAAATATCGGTGATAGAACAGACATTTCCAATAAAATGAAATTGGATTATTTAAAACGCTCATTAAGGGGTGAAGCATTTAAACTAATTGAGGGGATTCCTTCTGAAGGAAAAAATTTACCAACGGTTATGGAAATCCTTAAAAATAATTATGGAAATCCAGAAATAATTAAAACATATCTTCACGGGGCTTTACGAAAAATTCCGAGATCCTCACCTCATGTTCCCGAATTAAGGCAAACCTTAAGGCAAATAGATACAATCCTACGACAGCTTGAACTCATGGGGGAATCAATCGAACATAGACAAATAATGATTGAAATAGAAAGCAAATTACCGCGTTGGACCCTCACTGAGCTAGCCAAAGAAAAAATTAAAATACCAAATATGAGCGTAAAGGGGATGTGGGATTTTCTCGATAAATCTGTTCGATTAAAAGAAGAAGTATATAAAATGGATCGGGAATTCAGCACTGGAGAACCACCTAGAAAAACAATTTTAAATAAAAATAATCCATGGGGTACCCAAAGGGTAGCAAATTTTCAAAATTATGGGCAAAATTTAAATCGAAGAAATTTTCCCAAACAGACAGTAATGTACGCATTCAATAAAGAAATTGATTTAAAATGCGCATTTTGTTCGGATACACATTATGACAATCAATGTAAAAAATATAATAATATCGAAAAACGTGTTGAAAGAGCACGCGAACTAAAACTTTGTTTAAAATGTCTAAAATTAGGACATGGGGCTAATAATTGTAAAAATAAAATTGAGTGTTTTCATTGTAAAGATAAACGCCACTGTTCCGCTCTCTGTAGAAGAAAAGAAAAAATCGGTGAAAATAAAAATTTTCAATATAGATCGCACGCACCAATGAAAACAAATACAAAAATGGACAAGCAGCAAAAAATTATGGCTAACGTCCAAGAGAGCGATTCGAATGTTGAGGAAAGTGACGATGAAAATGACGTAATTATTCAACACTCTCAAAATGAAAAAAGGGGTGAGAAAAATGAACAAACAATCTTTCACGTGCTTAAAACTAACATAAATTCTGGGGTAAATAATCGATCATTTGAGGCTTATGCATTCCTAGACAGTGGGGCAGAAATTTCATTAATTAAAAATAGCCTGGCCGATAAAATAAAATTAAAGTCAATATCTACTGAAACAATTAGGGGTACTGGAGCAATGGGCACACGCTTTGAAGAAAAGGCGAATGTTTACAAATTTTACCTCCACTGTAAAAATAATCAAAAAATGGAAATTATAGCCCGAGGAGTAGAACATTTACCTAAACCTGTTTTAGTGCTAGATCCAAAATTAACAAAAAGCACAAAAAATTTCGCAACCATTCCGAAATGTTTTGCATCATTAAAGGAACCAGAACTATTAATAGGGGCTGAATACTATTTTGATCTTTTGGACTTTCCCAAAACTAAATCTGGCTTTAACCTAATAAATACTAAAATTGGTATGTCATTAGCAGGAAAAGGTTATATAGAAACCCCTAAAAAGGAAAAATTAATTTTGCCATTCTTTATGGACTCTACTGATGAAAGCGATGACGATTCACCTTTTCCTGCAAGAGGAAATTTCAGAAATAACCGAGAGAGCCCTCCGCCTGACCCAAAACCCACTCAACGGGAATTTCAACAAACACATAGAGAAAATAGGGTCCCCATACCGAACATGTGTTTTTGCAAGTGTTACAGGGACCCAAACATTAAATGCAAATGTAAAAGTAAATACCCATGTATATGCACTCCTGTCCCAGTTGAGCCTGAAAATGCTAAGAAATTTAATATTGGGGGAATGTATTCAGCTAGACTTCGCACTTTAAAAGACCAAATAAAAATTAGAAAAAAGAATAAATCGATTGAAAAAACAGCAAAAAATATACAAATGAATACATTATTTTCGGATGAAACTATTGAAAATTTTTGGAATCTTGAGGGGATAGGAATTAGTGAATGCCCATACCAAAATGACGATAAAATCGCCTACGAACTTTTTCTGAAAAATATAAGGCGTGACAAGATGGGCCGATATAAAGTTGCTCTACCCTGGAAAAATAAGGAGTATACACTTCCCGATAATTTTTGGATTTCATTCCAACGTTTAAAGGGCATTTGGCAAAAAATTATAAAAATCCCAGATAAAGAATTGAGAGAAAAAACACTTAAAAAATATGACGAAATATTCAAAGAGCAATTAAATGAGGGAGTGCTCGAAATTATTGAAAATGATAATTCTGAAAAAATACATTATATTCCGCATCATGCCATTTATAGACCAGAAAAAGATAAAATTAGGGTGGTTATTGATGCAAGTTGCAAAACAAAAAACAATGAAAGCTTAAACCAACAACTGTATCGGGGCCCGGTCCTCTTACCCGATCTTTGTGCAACTTTAATAAAATTTCGGACCTATGATATAGCCATTATTGCGGATGTTAAGGCGGCCTTCCATCAAATTGAAATCCATAAAAAGGACCGCGATGTCTTACGATTACTTTGGCTTAAAAATTTAAATGAACCACCAAGTTTGGAAAATATCATAAAACTACGCCATAAGAGACTTCCATTTGGAGTGATTTCCGCACCTTTTTTAATGGCAGCAGTAATACAATACCATCTAGAACATGAAAATAATAACTTAGAGATTGAAACGTATGCGGATAACGTTTTTATTACCGCTAAAGATGAATCGGATGCAATTGCTAAATGTAACCAAAGTATTATATTTTTCGGAAAAGCCAAAATGGAATTGCACGAATTCGCCTCTAATTGCAGTAAAGTGAATGAAAAATTTGGGGATAAAAATAAAATTTCTAAAATGAAAGTTCTAGGTATTAGATGGGACGTAGATTCTGATAAATTAAGTTTTAAAATTTCAAAAATAGAAAACAAAATCTGGACAAAAAGAATAGTCTTACAAACGGTTGCAAAAATATTTGATCCATTGGGGCTCCTTATTCCGGTTCAACTTACTAAAAATTATTCTTTCAAAAATTGTGGAAAAAGGGAATAGAATGGGACGACCGATTAGACAATAATGATTTAGAGGAATGGGAAACAATAATTTCGGATGAAGGCGAAATCTCCCTAAATAGAAAATTATTTGAAAATTTTAATAATTCAAAAATTGATCTACATGTTTTTGTGGACGCGTCCGCATTGGCCTATTCAGCGGTGGCATATGCGAGACAACAAAATAAAGAAAAAATAAAAACAAATATTATTTTTGCCAAAAATAGATTATGTCCATTAAAAAATATCACGATTCCACGCTTAGAACTTTTAGCGGCTTTAATCGGATCTAGGATGGTTAAATTCTTAAAAAAGGAAAGTAAAATAAAATTTAATTCAATTACTAATTGGTCTGACAGTAAATGCGTAATTGCATGGATATCAGGGGAAAATACAAATAAATTGCCGCGTTTTGTAGCTCGACGCGTGGAAGAAATAAAAGAAATTACAGAAATCAAGTGGCGTTACATAAATACAGAGCAAAATCCGGCAGACTGTGCCACCCGCGGACTAACTATAAATGAATTAAAAAATCACGAACTCTGGTGGACCGGGCCCGATTTCCTTTCTTTGGATAAATCGGAATGGCCAAAAATTCCAGCGGACCTAAAAATAGAAATTAAAAATATAAAAGAAAACTTTGTAAAAATAAACATCCTAGAAATCGACTTTATTGATCCAAAAATTAGAAATGAATGGAAAAAATTGGTCTCTATAGGGGAAAATGTGTTAACCTTTATTAAAAATATTTCAAAGAACAAAAAGGATTGGCAAAATACAATTTTTAAAGAACTAAAAAACCTAAAGGAAAATACTGAACTTAGGAAATTAGCAGAAATAATTTTAATTAAAAATTCACAAATTAGATATCCGCCAACACCCAGCCTCAAAAATTGCTTGAATATGGAGAAAAATAATTATGACTTATGGATTTGTAAAGGTAGGCTAGAGAACTTAGAAAACCACCCCGTATTCCTTTCAAATGAGAGTGAAATAACACAAATGATCTGCCAAGAATTTCATAGGAAAAACTTACATGCGGGGATACAACAAACGTTAGCAGATATGCGTATACAGTTCTGGATCCCCAAAGCTCGAATTTTGGTTAAAAATGTAATTAAAAAATGCCAAAAATGTTTTATGTACAATTTAAAACCATATAAATTTCCCAAAATGGCACCTCTTCCGGATGACAGAATAAATAGGTTTCAAGTTTTCGAACGCACAGGTGTTGACTATATGGGACCTCTTTATGTTAAAAATGGGGATGAAGCTTTAAAAATATGGATTTGTTTATTTACTTGCCTTACATGTAGAGGGATACACTTAGATATAGCTAAGGATCTAACTGCCTCTTCTTTCCTACAAATTTTCACTAGATTTACAGCAGAGTATGGATTACCACGGAAATTAATCAGTGATAACGGAACCCAATTCAAAATGAGTTCTAAGGCTGTCATAGAAATTCAAAAAAGTTTTGAGAGAGAAAAACTAGAGTGGAAGTTCATTCCTGAGCTTTCACCATGGTTTGGTGGAACTTATGAGCGCCTAGTGGGATTAACTAAAAAACACATTAAATTGGTTACAGGGAAAAAATACCTAGAAATTGAAGACATGCGAACACTAATAATTCAAGTAAAATCGATAATCAATTCTAGGCCATTAACTTATGTTTGCTCGGACATGGAATCACTTAATCCTTTGTGCCCTATAGACTTTATGCAACCAAATAGAAACAAAAACGAATTTTTACGCTTAATACCCGAAAATGAAAATGACCTTGAATTTAAGGAAAAGGAAAAAACACATGAGAAATTAGTAAATATTTGGGGAACACTTCAAACAAGAGTTGAAAAATTCTGGGAAAGGTGGTCCACTGAATACTTGCAATCGCTCAAAGAACGAATAGACAAACATAAACAAAAGAAATACACAAACTATGAACCAAATGAGGGAGATATAGTGTTGATTGGCGACAAAAACCTCCCTAGGAATCAATGGAAAATGGGTAGAGTGGTTAAACTAATACAAGGGAGAGATGGAGAAAAGAGAGTAGCCAAAATTCTCTCAAAAGGAAAAACGCTAACTAGAGCAATACCACTTCTTTACCCATTAGAAATTCGCGCAGAAACTGAAGAAAAGCCAAAAACAGAAAAATCCACTAAAATTGATAAAAATGAAGAGAAAACAGAAGAATATAGAGCAAAACTCAGATCTTACAAAAAGCCAGCTGCAAAAGAAATAAAAATAAAAACATTGCTAAACATTTCTCTAATCGCCTCACTTATTTTTTGGCCGCTAGCACACGCGAGACCCTGCAAAAGCAATGAAAACACAAAATTAATGGACATAGACACGTGTGTACAAAATGCTTTTGGGGTATACAAAGGTGAAAAGGGAACACTTTGTTGGAAATATATAACATGCGAAAACGGAGCCATTAGAGTCGCATCGGATAAAAAATTATTTTGTGGCGATAAATGTAAATGTTCTAATTGGACCCCAAATTGTAGCTTTTATAAAGGACCAAAATCATCAAATTCCACAATAGAAGATAAAGAAGTAAGAAAAATTTTAGAAAAAGAAAAAATTAAATTTTGTTCCTTGGAACCGAATGAAAAATGTGGGATGCCCGAAATAATAGAAGCAAACCAAATTCAGCTTTTCGATGGAACCAAACACTTAATTAAGGAATTAAACATTGCCCACATAGATAATTTAAATGGAAATTATGAGTGTATTGGTGTAGGAAAGACAACAGGAAGCCCGCGTTACTGTAGAAATAATTTTTGCAATGAAGAAGGAACGCGTTTTTGTTACTTCCGGCAATATGAATTAACCGTTCTAGTAACCGATGAGGGCAATATTCCTATACAAAGTTGGGGATCAATTAAAATTAAAGTTTATTACTGGCCTGAACAAAAGAAAGAGCGCTGTAAAAACTGCGAAATTGAATGCGCTAAACAAGGAATAAAAATAAAATATAAAGAAAAAATAGGTGGGTTAGAAATCTTTATTAGTGGAAAGCCAGAAATGTACATTCCTCATCCAGAAAATGGCCAAATAATTTATCTCCCAACTGAACAAATTATTTCAGAATATGAAGTTTCAGTAAAATTTTGGAAAAACGGGGAACAAGTTTCTGAAATGGGAATAAAATGTTCGGCTCAAAAACACTGCGAATTAATTGAGTGTACAGTTTGTATACAAATGCTCACTAACCCTCAATGCACGCCAAAGGAATGGATAATCATATTAGTCTTAGGCCTTTACTTCATCTTGGGATTTTTGATAATGATTTGTAGAATTTTAAAATTTGGCCTGGGAGGGATGCTTTGCATTATGCGACACAAATGGAGGCTTTGTAAAATTATCGGAAAACTTTTTAGGCGCAGAGCCAGAAAAGAAAAAGCAGAATTTACAGAATTTAAGCCCTTTACTAAAACTTACAAAACCAACCTTCCAAGAGAAGTAATATTGATAACTTTACTCTTACTTGCTTTGCCAATTCAAAGCTTAGAGATAATCAACGCCAAGGATGAACATTGTATTGTAAACAAAGAAGGGCAACGCACATGTTCGTATGAAAACGTGTTGGAGCTCAACTTTGGTTTACAATCTCAAAATGGTCAAGAAGCGCAAATTATTCTACAGGATTCCGGAAATAGACCCACGGGGAAAATTACTTTAAAAATAAATGCCATACAAGCAGTATGTTTCCGATCAGCTAAATTCTTTACAAGAGATTTCGAATTAGGAGCAAATTCAGTTTATTTGTGTAGTGGAGAAGGTTCTTGTACCTCTCAGCAAAAATGTGAAACTCTTGGGGTAAATGAGAGCATAAGTGAAATTCCTAAATCAAACCATTTACCCGGCACTTCTGGATGTCTCGATCCTTGTAAAGGACAACTTTTTTGCCAAAATTGCTACTATTCTAGTTACACATGCCTATTTTTCAGATGTTTCGCAGAACCCAAATCAAAAGAAATATACGAAATTTTTGAGTGTCCCGAATTTGGCTTAGAGCTTAAATTAAATATAACTATTGAAAATGCCGAACAAAAGTTTGAAAAAGAAATGAGATTACGCCCGGGGTTCACAGAAAATTTTAAGGAGATTAAACTTACCGCCACTTCAATGACTGTTCCTCCTATACCAGCATTGGGGCGTTCAATACTAACAGATGGTAATCGATTTGCCATAATCACAAAAGAACAAGAAAATTCCGCAAAAAGAGTCTTTTGCCCTAATATTAATGAAGCAGCCAAATTTAGCTCAAAATGTATAATGAAAAAGGAAATATGCAAATGTGAAAAAAGGAAAAATAAAATAATGTGTGGGAAGCAAAACGGGCCTTATTTGAAAGATATTTTTATGGGAGAAAAGGTTTTACCCTTGGTACACAATGGACTACTTTTAAAAAATGAGAATAAAGAAATAGTGGCAATTCCGGAACTCACGGCGGCCATTCTCCAGATTAGATTAGCGGGTGTTAGTTTCAAAGCCCAGATCGAATTAAATACTTGTAAAATAACCCCATATGAGATTGTTGGTTGTTATGGATGTGAAAAAGGGGCCACCTTTAAGTTACTATGTCTTACAGATTTCGGGCGGACTTTAGCCACTTTAATATGCCCTTCTTTTACCAGTGCCGTCACATGCGAGCCAACAGCCAACAACAAAACACTCTCTCTACATTTTGACCATGCTGATGTTGATGAGAACTGTGAGGCCTTTTGCCCAGCTTCGACTACACGATTTAAAATTTTTGGAAAACTTTCCTCCCCAGAACTGGTTATTTTTGATTCTAGAAATTGGGATTGGACCGCAAGAAAAGATATTACTCCGAAAATAGATTGGCTGTCAATTATTAAAAATTTTGTTTTTAATGCACATTTCCCCACACTAATTCTCTCTCTTTCTATTGGCGGTATCCTAATCTACTTTTTGGCACCTTTTCTTCTAACACTTCTTTTTGCCATCTTCTCTTTCCTAATTAAACTTCTTTGTCTCCGGAGTGTCGGCAACAGCCGAAAATGATATTTAATTTTAAATTTCAAAATAAATTTCTTCCTTTTTAACCTTAATCATTGAAATATATTTTTTATATTTTTTGAAATTCTTCATTTTTTAAATGTTATTACCCTTTTTTTAATGTCTCATCCTCATTCTTTCCTAAATTAACCTTTTTCTTCTGATGCAATTCTCTCCTATTTAAACTAACAATTAACAGCTAACAAACAATCATTAATCATTTTGCTATCCCTTTAATTTAATCCTAAAAATGTTCCCCTCCTTATTTTAAATATAAATTAAATTATTTTGATTGATAAATTTCTTTTAAATTATTTTCTGGTAAATTAATTTGGGGGTCTAAATAAAGACAGGATCAATATAAATTTTAATATTTTATTTTAAAATGTGTAAGCACTCTACAATTTTAGAGTGTATTTGATATTAAAAATATTTTTACTGATAAAAAGGGAATATTTTTCCACAACAATTTAAATTGCTTAAGAATTATTAGTTTTTTACTAATAAAGTAAAAATTATAATTTATTCATAGATTTTTTAATTAATAAATATTTTAGATGTCAAAAAATTACAATGTCAAAAAAATACAAAAATATTTAATTATTAAAATAGATATCATAAATTGAAGTCTTGCTGCGAAGCGAAGTCGAAATTAAAACTTATATTTATTTTCTATAACTTTATCTTTTTAATAAAAATAGACTATGGCCGGGCCATTATCCCAAAATTTAAAATTAATTAAAAAAATTTTTGACGCATTTATGTAACCAACCAACGACGCATTAATATAAACAACGTAAAATGAGTTAAAAAATAAATAAACAAATTGTTAGATAGATATAATTTAAAATTGGCAATTATAGTTAAATTTATATAGAATTTTCATCCTTAAAATTTTTTAAATATATATTTCTCTTTCTACAGCGATGATAATAGTTATTTTATAATATGAAGTATAAGTACATAAAACATTTTCTTTATTAATTTTTTAAATTAAATTTAATAATTTAAAAATAATGTAGTAAAAGCTTTAAAAATTTTGAATTGATGATTTTAAAATAAAAAAACAATTATTATTTTTATTATTAAAAATAAGTTAAAAAATAAACAGTTGTAGTTAAAATATAAGCAGTTATAATCATAAAATATGTATTATTTATGAAAATACAATAATAAGAATAAATCATAAGTAAAAGTGATTATCTTGATACTAATAAAAGGCATTTGCTTAAGAAGAAATTTCTGAGCTGAAAAGATTTCAAGAAACATTAAAAAATATATAAAAGAAAAAAGATTTTATATTCAAGGAGACTGAATTCATTAAACTACTTGCAAAAAACAAGCTGCCAAGAAAACCATTTCTTCTCAATATACTGTACAAGTTTAATTTAAAAAAAGTCGAAACTCAGATACAACAATAAATTTTTCCAATAAAAAATTTAATAGATTTTAATTTATTTATAATTTTAAAAAATTCCAAAAATCTCATTAATAGTAATTTTTAATAATTTAGATATTTTATAAATATTAGATTAATAACTAAAGATTAAAAATATATTAATTATTATTTATTTTGCTTATTAAAATTACAACAACACGCGTCTTACTGATTATAAAATATTTATTGAAAGTAATCTTTTACAAAATTTTATTAATAGAATAATCAGGACGATTTTATATTAAACGAGATTGAATTGGACAACAAATTGGACAACAACATATAATAATTGTTTTAATTATATATTCTAGAAATAACAAAAAATACTGCATAAAAGAAATAATCCATGTCTTAATATTAAGAAAAAGCCAACACAAAAAAGCACAAAAGAGGACTTCGCACAGTGATTGCCATCGTTTTAGTCGTAACCGTTGTAATAGGATCTGAAGATGTGAGACTGCTTATTTTGCTTATTATGAAAATTTAAAAAATGCCGAAAGTGAGTAAATAATAGAATAATAAAAAATTATATATAAATATAATTAGGATTTATTTATAAATATCAAGAATACAGTCGAATGAAAAATTGATATAATTAATATACTATAGTATAATGAAAGTGTATAATATAAATTTAGATACCAAATATATTTTTGAAATTGAAAAATTAGAGGCAGAAAAACAAGAATGAATTATCAGAAAAATGTCATGAAAATAAAATTCAACGCGATTATTTTTAAAAGACTTGCAAAGAAATTGCCAAGAAAACATTTATTCTGTATAAATTGTCCAAGCTTAAGTAAAAAAAGTCGTAAAAATTTCTATTAAAATAATTATTATAATTTAATAAAATTTATTCTATTAGTTTGTAGTAGTATGAAAATCACAATTAAATATATAAAATTAAGATATTAATTTAAATATGTAAATATAAGTGATATTTTTATAATCTGACAATAAATTATTTTATGAAAATTAATCAAAGTTTACTTAAAATGTATAATATACGCCAATGTTTTAACTGGCTATATAAATTTTTGCACTTTTTTAAAGAAAAATTTAAACCTTAACGAATGTTTATAAAATTATATATATGTTAACTTGTTGATTGGCTAATTGCATTGTTTCGATTAAAAAGTGGAAAGACAAAAAAAATGGATTTTTTACGCCTACGGTTTAAAAAATGGAATGGATAGAAACATTTATTAATATAACCAACGTAAAATGATTTAAAAAAATAAAGATAGATATAATTTAAAATTGACAATTATAGTTAAATTTATTTAGAATTTTCATACTTAAAATTTGTTTACTAATATTTATTATTATTTGCTTAAAGAATTAAAAAATGATTTTGATGATTACAAATGCTTTTAATATTCTAAGATAAATTAAAACGTAAACTACCTATATAAATATAAAAATATATCAGTTTTATAAATTCTGTCTGAATTGTCACATTTAATATAATTAAATTTATTTTTAATAAAAATCTTGTTATAAAATAAATTTTAGAAGTTATTTTAAGAAATAATATATTTTTACACAATTTCTTAAGATTTATTTTGAAGAACTACCATTTTTTGCCCAGCAAATATTTATACTTATACATTTGTCGGAAAAATTATTGATGATGAACAAATAATTAGTTCAAATAATTATATAGAAAATTATTATTATCGCAAAATCAACAATAAGATAAAATTTAATGCAATTATAAAAATTTGATATAAGTATAATAGTTTTGGAATAATTAAAATTATAAATGACAATTTTCAGAAAACTTATATTCTCCTGGTAAGATTGTGGATAAAATGTACAGGAAATTCTTCTAAATTACCAAAAAGGATCAAGTTAATTATAAAAAATTAATATTATATTCTTCTTTCTATTTTTAAAATATTTAACTAATTAAAAACAGATGGTATAGACTTTAAAAAATCTGTAAATTTTTTTATTTTATAATTGTTAAAATTTCTTTTAATAAAATCTATAATTGATAACATAAGCTATTATAGTTATATAATCTTGTGATAAAAAAATTTCAAATCGTTATAAAAATCTCAAATGGTTATATTAAATTGTATCTAAACACAATAACGAAATTGGAATTATCACTTAAGAATTTTCATTTTCAGAAACAAGTTTATCAAATATTATTAAATAGAAAATAATCTAGTTAAAAATTGAAAATTGAATAAAGTAATCTGTTGTGTATGGGCGTCAGCCCTTAAAGTGTTTACTATAAAAGCCAGAGAAAACGTCAGTCTATTCGGATCATACTAGCGGGGCTAGTCACTGATCTCCTTCGTCTGTCCCATTCCCTTCGCCTACACATTGTTCATTTCTAAGTGTGATAAATTGTTATTGTTGTGCTTGTCACATTAGTTTAAACCTCGGACACCTCGGGTCGTAACAATGGCGCGGTCGACAAAAAGTGAAGTGTGGCGAAGTGTAGTGAATTGCTTTGGCAATTAGTGAAAGTGATTGTTTTGATTTTGAGTGGACAGACGTCGTAATTAGTGATCGGCATGAGTCGAAGTGAAATGAGTGAATTGTTAGTTGGTACGCATGGACCTTTCGAGTTAGTCAGTGTGACCTGAAAAAGGACTCAGTGCGAGTGCCAATGGTCGAAGTTTGAGGCTGAAATGCCTAGTGGTCCGGAAAGTGCGCGAATTTTGGCCGATCAACTATTGAAGTGTTGAAAAGTTAAGAAGAGTTAAAAAGTGGATAGTGAATAAAGCGAAGTTTGGCAGCCTAAGGGTGAGTAAGACCAAATAATGAGCTTTGAATTGTTAGTGAATAAAGCGAAGTTTGGCAGCCTAAGGTTGAGTAAGACCAAATAATGAGCTTTGAAAGGTGATAGTGAGTGAATTGAAGTGAGTCAAGGCGCTAAGGAGTGAGTATTATTAGTGATTGAAGTGTTACTCCAGCGCAAGTCAGTGAAGCAACCCAGACTACACATAGTGTAAGTTCAGTGAAGTGTTGTGTGTACCTGAGTCTTTGAAAGAGGCAGGATGTAACATGCATCCTTTGAGTGGTTAGTTAGTAGTAGTAGTATTGAAGTGATAGTATTCAACCACGAGCCATCCTAAAAAGTACACGGCGAAACGGCACCGAACTGCACACTAGCGGTACCGTTAGTGTTGTGGTGTTTGACTTCATTTAAGTTATGAAATAAAGTATTAGTGATGTAATTTAGTGAAATTATTGGGCACAGTGTTGAAAAGTGAATGTAGTGCCGCAGTATAAAGTGAAGAAAAATGGTAGTGAAATAAAAAGTGAGGAAAGTAAAATAGTGAAGTAAATTAAAAAAATAAAAGTGAAAAGCTTATGGACAAGCAGTGTCATGATCAATAGTGTGACCAATCAAGGACGTGCGTTGCCGTATTGGAAGCTGCTGTATGCACTGTAGATGACCGCTGTCAGAAGAAAATGTGGAATAAGATGACATATTTTGTGATTTTGTAATTGTTGTTGTAATTTAATTTGTTGTTTTGCCCTTTTGTCATCCCACATTTTTGTATTTTGTTGTGAGTTGAGTGTTAGTGAGAGACTAGACGCTCTG